ATTATAGTAAGATGGTGGTCGTTCAGAAGAACGATGAAAGCTCCACGACCAAACCATCCAGCTCAGAGAACAAAACTCCATTAGATTATATTAAACTATGTAAGTGAAGTATTTTGTGTGTAGACTATCTAACTCAAATCATATCGAAATAAATCCAATGCATTGAATCTCATATAAATTTGAATGATATCCAACATTTATAACACTTTCATTTGATAAGTACATTAGATTTCCTTCCATCTTAATTCCGTGAAATTTTGCACAATTTAATACTTCAGAGGAAACTAGTTGGTAAAATATTTATAATAACAAAGTATACTACTTACTTATTATAAGTAAGAAGCAATGAATAGTAACAAATTTGCCAAATACACCTGCAATGGAGGGACTGTATAAAACTACCTTTGACAATTAAAATGTTTACTATCTAACATATAAAAGACTGTACAGACATATTTTATAAAACTAGAATCTTAATCAGAAGGGGTTTGTAGAGATTTTTAGAAATTTTCACAGACTGAAATCATGAGTCAGTTGAAGCTAGACTACCATTGAAGACCTGGAAGCACTGGACGGCCGTTTCGTACTAGTGTGGGACCCCTCAGCAGTGCACATCCGCGATCCCGCACCACGCGGGGCTCGAACCCAGGACCTACTGGCTTCGCGCGCGAACACTTAACCACTAGACCACTGGTACATGGTGGCGCAACTTCGTGGTTTGGTTGAAGTTAGACATTAACACCGTTAGATACCGGCTCAGTGGTCTAATGGTTAAGTGCTTGCGCGTGAAACTAGTAGGTCCTGGTTTGAGCCCCGCGTGGTGCGGGATCGTGGATGTGCACTGCTGAGGAGTCCCACACTAGGACGAAACGGCCGTCCAGTGCTTCCAGGTTTTCAACGGTGGTCTAGCTTCAACTGACTCATGATTTCAATCTGTAAAATTTTAATTTTGAGGAAGTTTCAAGAGTGTAAAAAGCGCTTCTTCCTCCGCTGGAATCTGGTTTGTCCCCTCCCCCAGTAGGTTGTTGTTGATAGTGTTTGACCAACAGATCATAAGTATTATGCGTAGGATCACTGTTAATAAACACTTGTATCTTCTGGATGATGGCTTTCGTAGTAGAGTAGAAATATCTTGACATTTGTATTGAAAATTTTGACTTTGGGAGAGAATAGGCCGCTCATCGTCATTCTTCATCCAACTCTGTCCTTGGCAATCGTTTCCACTTAGTTCCAGTTTCTATTCATTATTTTGACGTCTGCTTCCAATTCTCGATGTAGTGTGTTCTTTTGTGTTCCTATTTTCCGTTTTCCCTCAATATTCCACCTGTAGCTATTCAAGGGTTAATCCTTGTCCCAAGTCTAGTCAAAGAGGGAGGGTTGGACATCAAGAAGGTACAAGTATTTATAAATAGTTGTCTACGCAAGATACTCAACATCCTTTGGTCGGATACCATCAGCAACAGCCTTCTGCGGGAGAGAACAAACCAGCTTACAGCTGAAGTGGAAATTGGGAGAAGACGATGGAAATGGATAGGACATACATTGAGGAAATCACCAAACTGCATCGCGAGGCGAGCCCTAACTTGGAATCTTGAAGGGAAGCGGAGAAGAGGAGGACCGAAGAACACATTGCGTCGAATAATAGAAGCAGATATGAAAAGGATGAATTACAACTGGACGGAGCTAGAAAGTATTGCCCAGGACAGGGTTGGATGGAAAGTGTTGGTGCGCTGCCTATGCTCCTCGATGAGGAGTAACAGGCGTAAGTAAGTAAGTAAGTACGTAAGTTTTTTGGAAATAAGTTTGAACACGAAATAAAGTACCATAGTGTCTTCGAACCATAGAATCAGATCATACTACAGACTTCCGTTAAAATGATTATTGTTTCTTTAAACAAGACCATAATATTGTGGATTTGATTTCATGTGAAATAATCAATGTATATTATTAAACATTTCAGAACTAAACTGAAATAACTTTCCTACACTAGGTAATTCTCAATAGGTTTCTATGATGGTATAACTCTTTGATAAAATCTAATCTTGACAAACTATCCAATGTAATTTTAAATTATTTCATTTCATTTTGACTTAATGAAATACTAATAAAATCTATACATTACCACCGGTAAAAGCTTGGAACTACTGGATGGTTTTCATTCATGGTCTAACATTGATAAGTTTATGATTTGAATGACATTCAACAATCTCTATAACCTATAACTAAAAATTATGTATAAATCAAAAGGGGGCACTGAATATATATTTGTGTGTGGGCTGTGATACTGCTCGAGTGCCCAGACCGAAGCAGGTGGTTATCTTAGGGAGCCACACCCCGAGCCTTCGATCTAAAGGTCTGATCCACAAGGCAGTGGAGAAATGTTAGGAGATGTAGTCCCATGGTTGCCGGTGTCCAACGATTGCTTCATACGCCATTTGTTCCCTCAGGGTACTGAAACCCGTGTGCACCATTGGTTCGAAATCATGGTTTTCCCAATTTCTCTGGGTGGACACGGAGGGTCCACCAACTCGATTAAAGTGCCGGACATTCGCTTTTCGTCCTCTCAATTTCGTAATCAACACCCGTGGTGCGAAAAGACAGTGAGTAGGACTTCCGTGGCAGAGGCTATATACGCGTTGCCATTTGAGAGCATTTCGTGATGGAGAGCTAACTTTCCCCACCCTCAACCGTAATAGGGCATTTGCGGGCAGTATTGAAGAATGTATTGATGAAAATTCATTCAAATCAAGGAAGAATAAATGTTGTTTTGATTATTCACTATTAAGATTCCATAACTTATCCAATAGCATTTCACACTATTTGTAATGATCAACTAACTCAGATATCATTAACTGAGAAGAAATAAGTGAAAGCCTATTGAGGTTTTGAAAGATGATAATCTGAAGTAACTGTGTGTGTGTGTGTATGGATAATAAAATGCTGCTGTGTCCTTGAAAACCAATTTCTCACATCACTAAGATATATTTAAATACATAACTCAACTCTTCCTAATTACAAATACTAAAGATTTTTCAAACTCACTCATATAAATATAAACATACACAATAATCATAGATGGATAGTGGCTAGCAGTGGAATCGAGGACGCGTTTTTCGTCCTATTTGGGGCTTGTCAATTGGATGTACCTGCATCTCAAAGTTCATATTCACTCTGGGACTCGAACCCAGTACCATGCACTTCAAACATCATCGCATTATGCACTTAGCTACTGAGTCTGATAGCCATCTGCTTGTGCAATGAGTGAAGTTGTATTCATTTGATGTTGCTTGCTTCTATCTTTCTATTGTTATTTAGGATTGCAATCGAGCCTCAGAGTGAACATCAACTCTAAGATGCAGGTACATCCAGTTGACAAGTCCCAAAAAGGGTTGAAACGCGAGTCAAACTGGATTACACTGCTAGTCACTATCCATCTTTGCTTATAAAGCTTTTGACTTCAGGCAATATCGAGGCAGTCTTTACAGTATGCATATATGCCAAAAAGAGACACTGATCAACTGCAGTCCTAAATAACAATGAGAAGACAGAAGTAAACAACATCAAGTTAACACACAATAATGTCTCACATATTGTGGTTTATTCTTTTGTACTATGAAAAACTTATGTTAGTCTGATTCAGTTATTTGTGCCAAACTGCATAACGTCAGAAATTAAATTTTTCTACTCATGGAAGATTCAGAGGTGACACACGAGGTGATTCACGAGGACACTCTAAAAAAATATTCAAAAGATCAGAACAAATTGCTTGTCAGCTGACCATCGATTCTCCCATTGAATCATTAACGAATCGAATCCATTAACTCAACACATGATTGAAGCTGCATTTGTTAACTCTTTCAAGACAAAGTTGAATCAGTTAAGAGACCATCATTGCCAAGACTAACATAGGTCACTTACCCACTTGTCTTTACCAAACTGAAACTGTAATATTACCAGTTTATTGCTTTCTTATCATCAACAATTTAACTAAATTTCAATACATTTGATAGTGTCAAGTTAAATTTTGTTTTTGATTGAGATCATGAAGCGATTAGTATTAGACCATCATTGAAAACCTGGAAGCGCTGAATGGACGTTTCGTCCTATTGTGGAGCTAATCCGTATCGGATAGAGACAGGTGTCTACCTCAGTACAATGGAAGATGGTCGCTCAGTTTTGTGGATTAGTTGTAGTTAGACATTAACACAGTTGGATATCAGATCAATGGTCTAGAGGTTAATTGTTCGCGCACGAGACTGAAGGTCCTGAATTCGATTCCCAAATACAAGATGGCGGATACACACTGCCACTGAAGAATCTCATATTAAGAAGAAACGATAGTTCAGTGCTTCCAGGTTTTCAATGTATTTTATTATTATCATGTTTATCAACCTAAATACTTCTTTTTATTGATTGGGATCATGAACCGATTGATGTTAGACCACCACCATTGGAGCCGTGACCAGTGGAGCTAATCAATGTCGGGTAGAAACAAGTGTCTACCTCAGTACAATGGTAGATGGTCGCGTAATTTCGTGGATTGGTTGACGTTATACATTAACACCATTGGATGCCGGCTCAGTGGTCCATTAGGTTAACCGTTCGCATGCAAGACTGTAGGCCCTGGATTCGAATCCCAGGATCGTGGATGCACACTTCTGAGGAGTCCCACAACAGGACGAAACAAGCGTCCAGTACTTTCAGGTTTTCTATGGTGGTCTAACATCAATTAGTGCATAGTCTCACTCAAAAAGAACTTCACAATCTTCACAACCCCTAAACTGTTAAATACTTCCGTTTTTCTGACACAAATCGATATACTTCAATCCGTATGAAATAATTAGACATTGACGCACATAATTATGTATGTTTATTCATGTGCGTGTGTGCATGTGCATGTGCGCGTATATATATAGTTTAACATTATTTAACCAATCAGCATTTTCTATCTGTTCAAGGTCACGATAGATTTAAATAATAAAAGTGGAAAGACCGGTCATTTTAATTTAAATGATTACAGAAGAATTACAAATGATTCAAACAATTAATGAAGTGAATATACCAATATTCAATATTACAATTCATGGAATTAATGATCATGTGAATGTACAAAAATTAATTACATTCTTATTACCAGAATATGAAACAAAGAATATTGTTGTCAAGGTAAGAACTAGGTAATTTGTCTAAGCTTACGAACAATCATTATCTCATGTATCGTTCATCTTGAAGAAGTATTTGTAGTTGACCATTGAATAGGGTGAAGTTGTCAAAGAGTTTATGAAGGATATAGACAGTTTTGCTATGGTTCCCAGCAAAAGGAGCTTATACAAGATATATCACACAAAGTCTTCGAAAACTAATCATGAGAATCTTAACCAGGTAATTTGTATCTATCGATATGAATTAGACCAACAATCAACGATTTCATGATCTGATGCCATGTCTTGATTTAAACATGTATACTCATTCACCATGTAATAGAGTATGTGAAGGATAATGATACAACTCCGTTGCTTTAACCAAACTTACTTTACTTACTTACTTACGCCTGTTACTCCCAATGGAGCATAGGCCGCCGACTAGCATTCTCCAACCCACTCTGTCCTCCGCCTTCTTTTCTAGTTCCATCCAATTCTTGTTCATTTTTTTTCATGTCTATTTCCATTTCTCGGCGTAATGTGTTCTTTGGTCTTCCTCTTTTCCTTTGACCTTCAGGATTCCATGTGAGGGCTTGTCTTGTGACGCAGTTGGGTGCTTTCCTCAATCTCTGTCCTATCCACTTCCAGCGCTTCTTCCTGATTTCTTCCTCCACTGGGATCTGGTTTGTTCTCTCCCACAGTTCGTTGTTGCTAATAGTATCCGACCAACGGATCTGAAGTACTTTGCGTAGACAATTGTTAATAAACACCTGTATTTTCTGGATGATGGCTTTCGTTGTTCTCCAGGTTTCTGCCCCATACAGTAGAACTGTCTTGACATTTGTATTGAAAATCCTGACCTTGGTGTTGGTTGACAGTTGCTTTGAGTTCCAGATGTTCCTCAGTTGTAAATATGCTGCTCTTGCTTTGCCGATCCGCGCCTTCACATCTGCATCAGATCCACCCTGTTCATCAATGATGCTGCCCAAATATGTAAAGGTTTTTACATCTTCCAAATCTTCTCCCTCAATTGTGACTGGATTGGTACATGCTGTGTTGTATCGGAGAATCCTGCTTTTCCCTTTGTGTATATTGAGACCTATTGCTGCTGAGGCTGCTGCCACACTATTTGTCTTCTCCTGCATCTGTTGTTGCGTTTGGGATAGAAGGGCCAGATCGTCTGCGAAGTCTAGATCATCCAACTGCATCTTAGATGTCCATTGTATCCCGTGCTTCCCTTCAGATGTTGACGTCTTCATGAGATATATCGATACACTAGGTTAATAATAATATACCAAGAGAGTTAACAGTAAAAGCCCTAGGTGTCTGTCTGCGAGTAAAACCAAGGATAACAAAATACAGTTAGGATACAAATGGTATATTAAACAAACAGATAATAACAGTTATTATGGAATGAATGTTACTTGTAAGCTGCCTCGTGATATAACAACCACAAATTGAGTTCACTTGATTGACAAGATTCCTCTTCAAGTGATTGTACCAACCGCGTGATGAGCAAGACGGAGTCCAATAGTATTATATAATAATAATAATAATAATCCGTGCCAAAAGTCCAACGTAGCGTCGGAAGGCCTAAAAGGATGTTATAACACTATTATAGTCTTCAATCAAAGACCTTGGCCAATAAAGCAGAAGAACAGATGGCGTGGGTAGCGTTCTTATATTTCAAGCAACGCGGTAGTCAATTCGTATATTCATCATCAGAACAATTATCGTCGTTTTTTAACCAGTGATACAGAAAAAAACTGATATTGAATTAAAATGTGGTTACATATAAAGTGTGACAAATCAGAGAGCGGAAATGTGGTTTTTATTTTGTCTTTACAAAAATCACTGAATTAACGTCACCATAGTCTTCATTGGTACAAGAGTATGTGCGAAACACTAGAATACCTAACTTATTTAAATTATTATTCTGATATAAAGAAGATTATGATGGAAAAGTGGCAGCACCAATTAGATGGACGAGAATGGTTATAGCACAGAAACTTAACACATTTTGTTGGATGATCGGTAGCATCTCTGATGCTATACAGGAAGATGATGAAAGAAGTTTGTTAATTATTGTAAATCGGGACCTTCTTGAATGGATGGCTTTGCGGAGTCTGGTGTTTTGTACGTGAAACCAGTTACAAACCGATTTTCCTGACAAACGTTTATTAATTACTATCATCACTACAAAACCCCATTCTGATCATAATCATCATATGCTCACTAGTGACTGGTTTCAAGCGGTATTTCCTTGAGTTCTAGTGAGAAGCACTGACCAATGGAGTTCACTCGGGTCTTTTTTTATGGAGTTTTGTCCTCTGACCTGGATGGTTTGATCGTGGAGCTTTCATCATTCTTCTGAACGATATCATCAGCATAAACTTCTAACTGAACTACAAATATTCTCAACCATCTCACTCGTATGTGTTGTGAGATAGTAAATCCCTGAACACAGCAGTGAATGTGTCGCTCAATTTTATGAATTAATTGAAGTTAGACATTAAGACCGTTGGATACCAACCAGCTCAGTGGTCTAGAGGTTGGTTAAGCGTTCGCACGTGAGACCGATAGGTTATGAGATGGGATCATGAGTGCGAGCTGCCGAGAAGTCCAGTGCTATGACGAAACAGCCGTTCAATGCATCTAAGTTCTCCATGGTGATCTAGCATCAATGGACTCATAAACTTACTATATTCCCTTTCTGATAATTATGTAATTCATGATTTGTAAATCTTTTTTTTAACAGGTATTAAATAAAGGCTATTCAAATCAATTAATCTTAATTGACAATAAGAGACAATATTCAGCTTCATTATCTGCAATACCATCATTAATTATACGTATTTATGGTAATTTAACAACATCATTAATAGATAGAACAAATGAAATGAAATATATGAAAGTAGTTGGAAAATTCAAAAGTTTTCAACAATTATATGGAATATTTAATAATGGATTTGTATATTCATACATTGATGGTTGTGATATTTCATTGGAAAAATTATATGATATAAAATATGGCAAGTAAGTAGTTGAAGATGATTAGGGTGTTTTTTTATTGAGATCACGAATCGATCGAAGGAGCTGGGTTCGAATCCCGCTAGTGGGATCATGGATGTGCAGTCAGTTGGTTGGTCAGTCAGCTACAACATAGAACCAGGCGCATATATCTATCACTCCAAGTTACCATACCTCATTATCACAACAACATGAACACCAAACTCATAAAAGTAGTCACTTCAGTGATTGTAATAAAGATTTTGTATAAGGATATAGTACAGGAAGAAAGAATTAGTTGGTGGAAAGAAAGATATGAACCGATTTTTCAATCTCATAGTTTAAGGGAAGAGAAAGAGTGTGTACACCGACGCTATTTCGACCATTTCTGTGACATGTCACACACGGTCTCTAAATATTGGTTACAAGAGTCACACTGACTCAAAACAAGTAGTCTGCATCCACCAACGTGGCTCAAACAAGAAGTTAGTGGGTTCAAGCACTGATGCCACGTTTTGATTTGTCCACCACTCACTTCCTTCCAACCATTCCGAACACTCGTCAGCATTGTGTGTTGTGATAATCAGTAACAGGCGGCCCAACCATCTCAGTCGATGAATATTCACAGTGTCATCAACTGATTTACCATCATCATTCTCTAATACCCTACGTCTAATCTCACTATTACTTACTCGGTGATCCCAGAAGACGCGAGCACTGCTGAGCAGTCACACAATAGGACGAACGCAACCGTCCAGTGCTTTCAGGTTTTCAATGGTGGTAGTCTAACCTTGATCGATTCATGATCCAAGAAAAATTATTATATCACATTCTAAAATGAATTGACAATTGATTGATTGATTGAGAGAGAGAGAGTTGATTTTTAAAACAATATGATAAAGATTGATATTCGTTTGCTTGACATTGGAACTCCTTCCAAACAAAACTATAACTCAATCAAATACTCATTTAAATGAATTTATGATAATGTACAAATATCTCACCTTATTGAGAAATGATTGAGCATAGTAAGTAGGAAATCATGGATCTAGGTGTTGTGCTATTTTGCAACTAGTCAGTCGAACAGGTTTATTATTTTGTAGTGGATTGATGCTCGCAGTATGATTCGAGGTTACGTCACATTGAGTTACAATTGGAGATGTTATCAGTTGACTATGTGAGACGGGATTGAACTCTTATAAGACTTGAGCGTTTATACTTGATTAATCAATAAGTGTCACGTTTGTCAATCAGTTTCTATCAATCAAGTTTCAGTATGTTTTACAGATCATGGAGATAGGACATAAGATGTAGAAATTAGATGACATGGCTCAAAATCGTTTGCGATTGCGCAAGTGTATCCATTATTTGTATTCTCTCGAATTCTAATCTTCTGAATTCTTCATGTCCCTCTTCAAACCCTAATCTTTCCGATTACTGCTTATACTCTTACTACCTCTACCACTATGGGATTTGAATCGACAATTGTATCTCTGTGCTAATGTGGCATGGTACGTCGAACTGATGTACGTGCGTATGTACGTACGTACGAAGTTCTACGTTGTTACTGACTATTTATATTATTTATTTGAACACATAAATACTGGTACAAGGTGGTACCAGATAAATATACACCACACAAATCTCATTTGATTTGTGTGAGGGCTGTGGAACTGCCCGGGTGCCCAAACCGAAGCAGATGGTTATCTTAGGGATCAACACCCGGAGCATTCGAACTTAAGGTCTGATTGACAAGGCAGTGGAGAAATGTTAGGAGATTTAGTCCCATGGTTGCCGGTGTCCAACGATTTATTCATACGCCATTTGTTCCTTCAGGATACTGGAAACCCATGTGCACCATTGATTTGGAATCATGGTTTTCCAACTCCTCTGAGTGGACTCTTTGTGTCCACCAATCCCGGTTAAAGCACCAGAGTTTCGCTATTCGTCCTCTCAATTTTGTAAACAACACCCGTGATGCGAAAAGACAGTGAGTAAGACTTCCCTGGTAGAAGCTATATACGTGTGGCCATGTTAGAGCATTTGGAGAGGGTGAGCGAACTCCCGGTCGTACCAAAATACCTACTAATGGATATTATTATTATTAATGTAAACATTATTAAAACTAATTAGTACTTAGATACAAAAATATTATTGATTTTCACATTATACAAAAATAGATTAATTGCAGAGCAATTAGCCCAGCTACATTGTTTATCGATTGATGAATTTATACAACAACAAAATAAGAAAATGAATCCAGAATCCCAATTATTTCCAACATTATTCAAATGGATCAATAGACTTGATGATGAATTTATTAATTTATCAAGAAAATTAAAAAAGTAAGAATATTTTTTTTAAAACAAATTAACTATATTACTGTTAATACTACTAATTGTTATATAAGTATATCTGTATATACAGCTACAAAATGGTGGTCATACTGAGACCACCGGGTAACACTAAGGTTAGATTCAGGGTATTAAAGAATGATGATGGTAAATCAGTTGATGACACTGTGAATATTCATCGACTAAAATGGTTGAACCACCTGTTACGTATGTCTGGACACTAATTATGACGACACGCAATGCTGACTAGTGTATGGAATGGTTGGAAGAAAGTGAGTGGCGGCCAAACCAAAACGCCGCATCAGTGCTTGAAGTCACTAACTTCTTGTTTGAGCCACATTGGTAGATGCAGACTTCATGTTTTAGGTCTACATGACTATCGTAACTAATGGTTAGAGACTGTGTGTGACATGTCACAGAAATGGTCGAAATAGCGTCGGTGTATACATTCTTTCTCTTCCCTTAAACTATGAGATTGAAAAACCGCTTCATATCTTTCTTTCCACCAACTAATTCTTTCTTCCTGTACTATATCCTTATACAAAATCTTTATTACAATCACTGAAGTGACTACTTTTATGAGTTTGGTGTTCATGTTGTTGTGATAATGAGGTATGTTAACTTGGAGTGATGGATATATGTATGCCTGGTCCTACGTTGTAGCTGACTGACTGGTCAAAAGTTCAGTTCGGAAGCAGGACATTCGCACATCAACGACATTTGAAGGTCATTGTGAACTATTACGAAATGATTGGATTTGAAAATGTAAGTTATCGATTACTGACTCAGCGTCTAAATGTTAAGCGCTTGTCATGACGTTGTGAGTTCGATCCCTTGTTGCATGATATCACCAGGTTGTCCCATTTAATGACAAAACAACTGTCTAGTAGCTCCTGATTTTCAACGGTTATCTGGAATTAGTTAGTGATGCAGATCATAAAGTTCAAGAATCTTCACATACATGCTACATCAATCATGTTTTGAGTACTGTATATGAAATTGTTATATCTGGAGCTTAGAATCTTACTATACCGCGTATAACGTGAGCACTCAAACGTTAGAACCCCCCCGAAATCTCAAATGAGAAGACAGAAGTCAAGTGAAAGGAATATTATTTCAAACAGTGACAATCATGATACAATACTGTCAGGTATTTATAGTTTTTAATAAAAACGAAATCATGATTACAGTCCTCCAATTCTCATACAGGGGGATATTAACATTTGTCCAATTGGAAGCTACACGTCGGGATTCTGGAATATTTTTCTAAAAGATGATTGAATGGAATATCTTCAGCTCTTTCTGAGCTTCTTAGAGCTTCTTCAAGTTCACCTGTGGACCGTCGTCACAGAAATACAGATAGAATTGACGATATTATTTTTTATTCCTTGAATGACAACAATTATTTGGAACTTTTCCAATGAGGCAAATTGTGAATTAGGAAATAAATTGATACCTCTAGTGATATCCAAATTAGAAAATGTTTACATTACATATACCCAAGTCATAATTAATAAAGAATAAAATCAATAGGAGAATAATTATGAAGAAATATGTAAGGGAATATAGAGATATAATTATCCGACTATTCAGCAATGAAATAAATAGTACTAATGCTTGAAGAAGTTTCAGATGTTTCAACTTTTCCATTACTTGTTCTATTACAAGACCGAAGTATATTAAACATTCCTTCTGAAGTTCAAGAGTGTATTCGTTCAACCAGCGAATTACAATGGAAAAACGGACTATTTATTGCAGATAGATCTGAAGTGAAGGAGAACGCAGGCGAGGACAACCGAATTATATTTAACACAAAATTACAGAGTTAATTGGTTGCCGGCTCAGTGGTCTAATGATTAAGTGCTCGCGCGCGAAACCAGTTGGTCCTGGGTTCGAATCCCGCGGGGGGCGGGTTCGTGGGTGTGCTCTGCTGAGGAGTCCCGTACTGGGACGAAACGGCCGTCCAGTGCTTCCAGGTTTTCCATGGCGGTCTAGCTTCAATTGACTCATGATTTCAACCAGTAAAATAGAAAAACCATACTAAAACACTTAATTTGCATAATGTACAATAACTGTCTTGAACTTCGTTGTTCTTGCATTTCCATACTAATTGCTTTCTATTCCCTCTCTTCCTTTCTTGATCTTCCCCATCTTCTGCTGCCAGACATTACATTCTTGACTCACGTTATATACTACTTATGTAAATATAAGTAGCACGCACCACAAGTCAACTCAAATGTGAATTAAAGGAATCTATCCTCATTTCCAATTCTATGATAAGTTAATTGTAGAATTCGAAACTGTCGTTAGTTTCAGTAAATTAACTTTTGCAAAGGTTTTCTTATTAGCCATTTTCACTGATATTATTGACTAACAATTATGGCTCTAAAAATAACAGTCATCTTAGTAACTATCGTTATCTTCGACTTCATTTGTTATTCAATTCATATCTACACCAATATTAAGACAACAGACAGAATTAGAACGTTGTTTCAACATATACATAAATATCACACTTGATGGTGAAACTTTGAAAGATGTTGAATCTTTCACGTACCTGGGAAGTATCATCAATGAACAAGGAGGACCCGATCAAGATGTAAAGGCGAGAATTGGCCAAGCAAGGGCTGCATTCCTACAATTGAAGAAAATATGGAACTGAAAACAACTGTCAACTAATATCAAAGTCAGAATCTTTAATAATAATTGTTGTAACGCGTGTGGGACTGCAGGTTATGCTAGACAGCGTTTATATCGATCGATTACAGTAGACACGGAAAACACGTATGGACGACCTAGTGCCCTGATTGGTCCCGCTTCGCAGTCTGTCCTAGCCAGTTGAGTCAAGAACGCAAGTCACAGCCTCTGAGTTATGAATCGTTGTATTTCAGACATACTTTGTTTATATACCAATCAAGCACACCACATCGTACCATAAAATAGGAAACAACATTTACAAAATATTTAACAAGTGAAATAAACATCGACCAATAAGAAATGTACATTTAAGGTCCAAGGACACCATAGACTTAACACGATAATTATTGGTATATTTTTCCGACTATCCTAACACCTCCCCTTTTTTGAAAGATCCGGAGTTAATATCTGGACTTTAAAATTTTCTGCGTCCGTCCTCCCCCGCGAAATAACGTTGGGTCCTCATATACCCAAGCAACAATCAGTCTGATTCTATTTAAAGCATATTTCGCGCATTGAGTAGAGGGTTCACTAAAACTGACTAGATGATAAGGATTAGCGACACCAGACATGACGTCATTAAGGTTTGATTTTTGTGCAACATATCCTTCAGACCTCTTCAAAATGCGATCACTGGATAATAGGTCACTAAAACAAACAGCATCTTTGAAATTCATATCAGATTTCTGACCATCATTTGATGCACGGGAAACATTTTCTGGCACGAGAGGTTCTTCTTGTAAGCTGGATACCTCACATGTTTCAGGCACAGTGGGATTTGAACCCACAACAGGGCATACTTCTGAATTGGACAATTCTGGATCTCTGGATGGATCATGAGCGACTGCCTCGTTTGCATTACTGATCGTAAGGGATTCATAGAGGCTTTTGTTTTCATCTTCATATGTCCTGCAGTCATTCTCGAGTTCAGTATGCAGGTGAGAAATTAATTCGTCAACCTCTTTCACATCTCCGAAACACGGGAGATTTAGCAGTCGCGTGCGCATATAGTCCAAAACATTCAACTGGCTCTCTCTGTAACGATCTAGTAGTATCTGCAATTGATCGGAGGGGATAGTCATTTTCTGAATCAGCAGAGTAATGAGAAATACTGTAATCAACTAACAACCAATGACTCCCAAGGACGCCGACGAAAAATCTGGATACTGATTGGTCAGAACAATTATACTGAATCTCGTCCAATTACAGGGTTCAAAATTCTCTCTACCCCGTCGCCAATTGTTGTAACGCGTGTGGGACTGCAGGTTATGCTAGACAGCGTTTATATCGATCGATTACAGTAGACACGGAAAACACGTATGGACGACCTAGTGCCCTGATTGGTCCCGCTTCGCAGTCTGTCCTAGCCAGTTGAGTCAAGAACGCAAGTCACAGCCTCTGAGTTATGAATCGTTGTATTTCAGACATACTTTGTTTATATACCAATCAAGCACACCACATCGTACCATAAAATAGGAAACAACATTTACAAAATATTTAACAAGTGAAATAAACATCGACCAATAAGAAATGTACATTTAAGGTCCAAGGACACCATAGACTTAACACGATAATTATTGGTATATTTTTCCGACTATCCTAACAATAATATTATGACGGTTCTATTGAACGGAGCTGAAACATGAAGAACTGCTATAACCGTCATCAAGAATGTACTGAATGTCCGTTGACCGGATACTATCGGAAACAGCTTACTGTGGAATAGAACAAACCTGCTTCCAGCTGAAGAGGAAATCCGGGAAAAACGTTGGAAGTGGATAGGACATACATAACAGAAATCATCAAACTGCATCACAAGACAAGCCATAACTTGGAATCTTGAATGGAAGCGGAAAAGAGGAAGAAATTAATACCATACTGTACAGAAAAACTAGTTAGAATACAAAGAAGCTTTCATTTCACAACTTAAAAAAACTTCAAAAATACAAAATATCTTCCAGTATGAGGATTGTTATTGAGATCACAAAATGTATGAGGTTAAACGACCAATGAAAACCTGGGAACAGTGGACGGCTGTTTCGTCTTGGTATGAAACATCTTAGCAGTGTGCATCTCCGAATCCGCACGCTGAAATCGAACCCAGGATTTTTGGTATCAAGAGAAAACGTCCCACCTCTAAGCCATTGATCTAGGATCCAAGGATGCACATGTGTTACTTTGATCAGTTTACGATATTGCACGAACACCTTTCACTATCTTCGATGAGTACCTACCTTCCTCAAATCCGACATAGTCAAACTCCACTAGCCACAGATTTTTTCACTGTTCAATGTGTGTGTGTGTGTGTGTGTGTAGTTTCTCAAGCATTTTCGGACAATTATTCGTTTATTTAGTGGTTCAGTCCGATACTCTTTGAATAACATGAATTATCTAATTTAATCTAATCCATAATGTAAACTAAATAATCATCTCTCATCCTAAGGGAAACATTTCATCATCTTCATTTTATTTTTTTTTATTTTAACACATAGATATCCGTACAAGAGGGCACCAAATACATATGCGCCACACCAATGTCATTTGATATATGTGAGGACTGTGATACTGCCTGGGTGCCCAAGCTTAAGCAGGTGGATTTCCTAGGGGGCCGCACCCCGAGCCTTCGACCTGAAGGTCTGATCCACAAGGCAGTGGTGCATCATAAGGAGATGCAGTCCCATGGTAGCCGGTGACCAACAATTGGTTCATACATCATTTGTTCCTTCAGGATACTGGAGCCCATGTGCACCATTGGTTTGGGATCATGGTTTTCCAACTTCCCTAGGTAGACTCTCTGTGTCCACCAAGCCGGTTAAAGAGCCGGACATTCGCTTTCCGTCCTCTCAATTTCGTAAACAACAACCCCGCCACGAGAAGGCAATGAGTAGGACTTCCCTGGCAGAGGCTATATACTCGTGGCCATGTAAAGGCATTTCGAGAGGGAGAGCGGACTCTCCGCACTCTCGGCCGTACCAAGGCATTTAAGGGCATCAACTTCATTGCTTCATGATTCCACTTTAGATAAAGTTATCTAACTGTTTTGATGAATAAATCAAACTACATGGAACTACAACATTACTCCATATTTTTTTCTTTGTTTTATAATTATTACTTATAACTTTTCAGATATGAATCAATTTTTCCAAGTAAATCTTATATATTCAATGAAGTGATCATATTGAAAGATCAATATCTTAACAGTCCTATATCTAAAGTAGTTTTATGCCATAATGATCTGAATGCAGCCAACATTATACTGGCTCCAGATGAAAGTGAGTACAAATATCCTTCAGTTAACTCTTTGAAAGTCACGAAAAGCTTAAAAACATTTTTGTTAAAATCAGTATCCATTAAGAACTCCTTAAGACCATCTAGAAAATCGGTGGATTATTTGACACACTTTGTCTGAATGATCATCTACTTTTTTTGTTATTAGGTTTAATACACTTTTAGAAGTTTAGAGAAGGTCAAAGTTACTTATCAACCCAAGTAAACATTAATGTTAAACATCTGTTCGTACTTCACATTTTTCCTCCCTTGTTCGATACTAAACTAAAGGGGAATAATGGAGATCTAGGAAGAGGCTAGAAATTCATTACCAAGCGTTCGAATTTAAGATGTATCATATGTATTATATTACTACTGACATACATTCACCTCAGAACTTAAGTGTAATCACTTGAAGTCTATTTCTATTGAGACTCAAAACTTCAATAAGTAAAAACATTGGAAATTCTACCTAACATAATGTAGTACAATATAAACACATACAGTATATTCACTTGTAACCCTTCGTGTTAGTAAAGTTGGCGTATGTACAACAAAAATTAAGGATAGTCATAATAGATCAGTAGTGTAACTAGTTTAACCGGTTTTCACATCTAGTTCATAATTATTTAAATTACTTTAATTGTATTGGTATACATTAATACTCACTTCTAGTTACCTAGTCAATCAACCAATCTGGCTTTGATCTAACTTCTTTCTTGAGTAACATATAATTTCCAATAGTTGAGATCATGAGTTAATTGAAGTTAGACCACCATGGAAAACCTGGAAGCACTGGACAGCCGTTTTGCCCTATTGTGAGACTCCTCGACAGTGCGCATCCACAACCCCGCCTCACGGGATTCGAACCCAGGGAATATCAGTCTCGCGCCAGGCGACTCATTATCTCAACTATTGAAATTACTACAATCTCCAGAAAACGCCTTCTGGTACTAATCAACATATACTCACTAGTGACTGGCTTCAAAAGATATATCCTAGAGTTCTAATGAGAAGCAGTGACAAGTAGAGTTCAACCGGGTCGGTTGTCAGGTAGTAACTCACTGATGACAATGGTGGATGTGTCACTGAATTTCGTGGATTAGTTCAAGTTAAACAGTAACACAGCTGAATGCCGGCTCACTGGTCTAGTTGGTTAAGCGCCTGGTGCGAGACGGATAGTCCCTGGGTTCTAACCCCGTGAGGCAGGGTTGTGGATGCGCACTGTCGAGGAGTCCCACAATAGGGCGAAACGGCTGTCCAGTGCTCCCAGGTTCTCCATGGTGGTCTAGCTTCAATTAACTCATGATCTCAACTATTGGAATTACTACAATCTCCACAAAAGACTGATCGATTGCCGTCATAAATATCAATGGGAAGATTCAAGTAAACAATACCAAGTGAATTTAAACTTCACCCCACTGTACTCAGGTGGCTATCAGGACTCAGTGGCTAAGTGGATAACGTGTTAGTGTTTGCAGTGAACGGTTGAAGGTTCGAGTTCTGGAGTGAACATTAACTCTAAGATTCAGATATATCCAGCTGACAAGTCCCGAATAGGACGAAACGCGAATCAAACTGGATCCCATTGCTAGCCAGTATCCATCAGATATAACTTAGCGATAAAATTTCTCACCAAATCGATCAAATATTTCCATATTTTATTGATCTCTTATCATTTTAGTCATATACATTATATTACACTAAAAAAAGAAAATGGATTTTAGTGTACATATCTCTGTATCTTTATTTTATCCCTTAATAGATTCTGTTCACCTGATTGACATGGAATATTGTGACTTAAACTATGCTGCATACGATATTGGTAATCATTTTTGTGAATTTACTGGTAAGTTTTTATTACAGTTGAATTACTATTGTCTTAAGACAATGAGGTGTAGATACATTCAGCTGATGAGTCCTCAAAAGAACAAAACACTCTTCAACCTAAATCCCATTGCTAATCAATATCCATTTTTGTTTAAAATATACTTTTCTTTTTTCTTTATATTGTTAACCAACGTTGTTGTTATTGTTGTTGTTGTTTTCTTTGTTGTCATTATAACAATTCATTACAGGACCATATGCAATAGAGTTTAAACGTTATCCTTCAATTGACTATCAAAAAGAATGGATAAACATCTATTTAACAGCCTATTATCAATATTCTAATTCAAAATCAGATCTTCATTATAATGAATTACAATGGGATAGATTTAAAGAAGATTATATTAATCAATGGATTAAAGAGATTAATTGTTTTGCATTAGTAAGTTAAACGATGTGTTGAATAAGTTCACATAGGTAATGAGATGGATTGAGATAAACTTAGGTTTGAATAATTTCTGGTCAGTGTTTTTTTAGCAGGTAAGTTTTCTACGGGGTGGGGTCGCTAACCCCATGCCCAACCCTTCTCCTTTATCCGGGCTTGGGACCGGCAGTAGCCCCAAGAAGGACTCCAAGCGGAGTTAGGTGAACTTAGACAAACACTTAATCACTAGAACGAATAGATTGACTTATACTGGATATATTTTCTATTGTTTTGGTATATCATAAAGTGATTCAGGTTGAAATGAGATCGATACATGACGTCGTCGACGACAACGATGATGATGATGATGATAACGACAACGATGACGAAATGGTTCTAACAGAAAACTCGTCCCTTAATTTGTATGATAGATTTCAATTAAATGTAATCATGTTGAATTGACGGTAAAACTAAAATTTCTGGACGAAATTTGAGCGACGCTAAAGTGACCTTGAGGGTGTTCACCTAATGACTAGGACTAAATGAGGGTTATAAACCTGTGTAAGGAATTGGAATTATGATATACACAAATGGATAGATTCGAACACTTCACTTCTATCTGAAGTTTGTGCTGATGATGTCGTTCAGAAGAACGATGAAAACTCCACGACCAAACCATCCAGTTTAGAGAACAAACCTCTATCAAAATTATGATATGCAGTTGATGATTAAGGTTAAGAATTAGATTTAGAGTTTTCATTACGAACTGACATAAGTTATAATACCAAAATGCTATTTAGCCAAATGGATGAATGAATGTCACACTCGAATTCAAGACCTTTTATCTTATACATGATGGGTTCGTTCATAAATTATAGTCTCACCGAATTGACTTTTCAAATGATAAAGACCTATGTGAAAATCTGTATTAGAACATTTTAATCTAAATTTAGATCAATAATCAGTATAGATAGAAACATTTTCAATGCCAATAGATAGTCCTAAATGTTCAGACTGATTATGTAGATAAAGGCATAAGCTTACTTTGTATTACATTAGTTTGAAATGAGAAAGTTATATGTCGGCATAATCATTGCTTTACAATTACAATAGTCAATTTGATGAAAATGAAATCATTGTTTACTTACTTAATTACTTACTCCTGTTACCCCCAATGGAGTATAGGCTGCCGATCATGGGTAAGGTAAGTGATAATAAGAGACTCAGTTAAACACTACTATTTCGTAATATAAGCCAGTTAGTTAGTCTTTTACAACGTAGGACCACGCACATATATGCATCAGTTCAAGTTACCATACCTCATTAACACAACAACATGAACACCAAACTCATAGAACTAGTTAGTTCAATGGTGGTATTATGTAAAAGAAAGATTGCATATAAGGATATAGTACAGGAAGAAAGAATTAGTTGGTGGAAAGAATAATATGAAGTGATTTTAATCTCTTAGTTTAGGGGTAGACAAAGAATGTATACACCGACGCCATTTCGATCATTCCTGAGACATGTCACCAACAATCTCAAACCATTCGTTACGATAGTCACGCGGACCCCAACCAATTAGTCTGCATCCACCAACATAGCTCAAACCAGAAGTTAGTGACTTCAAACACTGATGCGGCGTTTTGGTTTGGCCGCCACTAACTTTCTTCCAATCATCTCCAACACTAGTCAGAATTGTGCGCCGCGGTAACCGGTGTTCAAGCATGCGAAATATGTGACCCAACCATCTCGTTCGATGAAGATTCACAGTGTCATCAACTGATTTAGCATCGTCATCCTCTAATACCATGAGTCTAACCTTGCTATTACTTACCCGGTGATCTCAGCAGATTCGAGCCAGAAAAATGGACATTCATTTACTATGTATCTTAGATTATGTTGCTATGTGATCTGAATAATCCAGTTAGATAGTTTTCCCAGATTTCAAACCAGTCAACATACGTCATTGAGTCTGTTATCAATTTTACTTTGGCTGGGTAAAAAAAATTGTGATGAATTATAATTATGCTTATTCATCCCAGTTAACAGGTTGTGTTCTCTTCTGATATACTTGGGACTCGGTTAGACTTTATGTCCAGTGCATCCTGCCAACTACTTACAACTATCTAAAGTCTGAATGATTATGTGTCTAAACGTTTAGTTGAATGCACGAGTCAGTCTAAGCTAGATCACCGTTGAAAACTTTGAACTGGGGTTGTAAATGTTTGCTGCCGATGAATCTTATACTAGAATGAAACGGTCGTCCAAAGTTTCCAGGTTTCCAATGGTGGTTTAGCTTAGATCAATTCGTGAATCCAACGATTAAAACATATTATCATTGAAAACCACATATTCAGATATTTGTAAATTGGGGCAATAAACTATAAGTTAAGATAAAAGCTATTATAATACCAAATAATAATTTTCAGTTAGGTCACTGTGTGACATTACTGTGGAGAGAGAGAAAACTAACTACTTAATTATTTATCATTATTATTATTATTTGAACACATAGACATCGGTACAAGGAGGCAGCAAATAGATATACACCACATAAATCATTCGATTTATGTGAGCGCTGGGATACTGCTCAGGTGCTCAAACCGATGCACGTGGTTTCCTTAGGGAGCCACACACGGAGCCTTCGACCTGGAGGTCTGATCCACATGACAGTGAAGCATCGTAAGGCGATGCAGTCCCATGGTAGTCGGTGATCAATGATTGGTTCATACGCCAATTTTTCCTTCATAATACTTTAGTACATGTGCACCATTGGTTTGGAGTCAGGGTTTTCCAACTCCCTGAGGTGGATCCTCCATATCCACCAGCCCGGTTAAAACGCCGGACATTCGCTTTTCGTCCTCTCATTTTCGTAAACAACACCTACGCCACAAGAAGGCAGTGAGTAGTACTTCCCTGGTAGAGGCTATATACTCGTGACCATGTGAGAGCGTTTGGAGAGGGAGAGCGGACTCTCCCCACTCTTAGCCATACCAGGGAATTTGTGGGCAATTAACTTTGGTGTCTCCTCACTTGCGGATAAATCTTTGGCCTTTTAACTAGTCGATTAATATATGACGTTGCACTATAGTGAACTACACTTTTCTTCCCCTAATTTTAGGTATCTCATTTACTTTGGGCTGTTTGGGCAGTAATATGTGCATCGGAAAACTTATATTCTATGGACTTTCTAGCGTAAGTTATTTTGTTTCTTTTCGATTAAGGATAAATTACAAAGTCATTTCCCATCTTTGAAATGGTGGGAGGATTTTAATGAAACAAACTCTAGAAGGCAGAAAGTAACTGATAGATGTTTTATCCTAGTAGGAGAATCTACAACGGCAGATATCCATGACCTGATCACAAATCGAACTCAAAGCTGTGAAGTATCAAGATGAATAATTCACCTCCAAATCAATTCATTGACAGTGGATAGTTTACATTCTCAAGTTCAGTCACACTAGGTTACTCGTTATGCTTAGAAACAATAGGTATGGTGTTAAGAGATACTAGGATAGCTATTGTTTACCGTTCAGCATATCAATTCACATATTTTATTCAAGAGTAAAGGGTTTCATCTGTCATTTGATTTTCATTCAATCGGTTATCATAAAGACAGAGCCCCGCTTAAAGACAACAAGAAAGAAAATTATCAACATCTACTATACTTGACTATGAATGTCACTCGACTTTCGATCAGGAAGTTAGCATCTACTGACGTGAATTAAAGCGTCAGTTAAGAAATCCATGGATAGTTGTCATTTCTTGATCATTTTACCCTCACCTTTTTTCTAGCCGAAATTCTATGTCGAATAAACGATATTAACACCTGTCTTAGCTTTCTTGATTGATTAAAGTTGACTTGCTATATTTACTCAATAACATACTTTTAGCCTTAGTATTTCTCTCTCTGTGCTTTCATGAAAATAAACAATGTTTGACAGACAGCTATGATTAAATACTTCCAGTCTTCATACACTTTCTAAATTCATGTATAGTTTTTCACAGGCATAGAGCGTAACAAAGCGGTAATTATCAGTATAGGGTTGTGGAGATTATTAAGTTTCTGAGTGAGATCATGAATCGATTGATGTTCGAATCTCGCGAGCGAGATCTTGGATGCACACTGTTGAGGAATCTCATAATAGGACGAGACGGCCGTCCAGTGCTTCCAGATTTTTAATGGTGGTCTAACATCAATCGATTCATGATCTCAATTAAAAACGGAATGCTAGATAGTTCGCTTACCCCTAAGCTATTGAATAGATTGTTGCTACTGATTCTTATTGTACTTGAACGCTTAAACTCTGGTGGACTACTTAACCGCTTCCCTGTCCACTAAAATATTCCATCTACTCTTGAATTCCAAACAGAAAATACGGATCTAAAAGTGCCGAAAAAGCTTGACTATGAAAGTTAATTAGTTCATTTATAGAAAATATAGATGTTTTTAAGATTACTTGTGACATTGAAATCGAAGAATCTTTTGAAAAACATGGTAGAAACCATTGGCAATCGAATCTATAAGTGTACAATTATTTAGTCATTTTTTAGGAATTTCGAAGGAATGTTAAATGATCGATGCATCTTCACTTTTTTATCTGTCCTCTCATCATCCAAAATTCATAAGACGGATTACAGTGCGAATTCGTGCATGGACGACAGCTGAGAGATACATTCCAATTGAGGACCGGAGTCAGACAAGGCTGCTTACTTGAAACATCATCAAAAATGTACAATTATTTATAAACAATTGTCTACACAAGATATTCTCAGCAACAGCCCACTATGGAAGAGAACAAACTAGGTTCCATTTGAAAAGGAAATTAGGATAAGACCTTGGAAGTGAATAGGAAATACATGACAGAAATCATCAAACTGCATCACGAGGCAAACCGTAACTTGAAATCCTGAAGGGAATCAGGAAAGAGGAAGATCAAAAAACATATTGCATCGGGAATCTTAGGTAGATATGAAAAGGATGAATAGCAACTGAAAAGAACTGAAAGAGATTGTCCAAAACAGAGTTGTATGGAGAATACTAGTGAGCGGCCTATGCTCCTCCACAAGTGGTAACAGTCATACGTAAGTAAGTAATCTATCCTCTGGAGAATTTTTCAAGTAATCATCGATGATTCATAGGAATTCTTTCATTTCATCAGTAAACAGTAATAGAATGACAGAAAAACCAAGGATCACACAGAATAATTCATGAATGATGTACTTGATACTTTTCCTACTTCAAACTAATTAATCAATCGATATTTACAATTATGATAATGATGATCAATGATTTCTGTTTCATTCATCCATATATTGATTGATTCATTTATTGATTTATTATAGTTATGCTGATTCAAGAATGAAACAATATTATCTAATGAAGAAATGGTTACCGTCAACATTTCAATTACCTGTTGTGTAATTTCTATTTCAAAAGTATCCATTTTTATACTGTTTAATATAAATTATGAATAGACTATAAAGCACACATATCTGGTTAGCGTTTTTTTAGCAAGTTAGTTTTCTACGGGATGGGATCGCTAATCCCATATTCAACCCTCCTGTTTTATTCGGAATTGAGTCCTACGGTAGCTCCAGAGGGGCTCCAGGCAGAGTTCAAAACACATATCAGTCCATGGAATCCTTGTTTGTTTTTTTTGGATTTGCAGTTCTCTGTTTTATTGCAAATTAATCAATAGTACTAACAAATGCATTAGTAATATAAACAGTATAAAGTGTATGAAGTCATTTGTTGAAAGTTGTTTATACATTCAATGACCTACTTACTTTGTATTAAGTGAAAGTGTGATGTGTGCTACTGATGTCGATAGATATAAGTAGTATGTATCATCAATTGTAAGCGAAATGTTTGGTGGCAGAATGTTAAAAAAGATCAAAGAAAAGAGAACGAAAACAGAAAGTGATAGGTTTAGAAACAAAAGAACAACGAAGTCTGAGACATTAGATAGACATTTTGAAAATGAAGTATTCACTGTACGGATTTCAGATTTTATGAAGTTATTCTGTAATATTGTGCTAAAATGCATTTACCTGGTTGGGGACCGTGAGATGATAGCAACCGATGGTTAGAGACCCTGAATGACATGGCTCAAAATCGTTTGCAATGGCGCAGGTGCATACACTCTTTGTGTTCTCCCAAATTTTGATCTCCTTATTCCTCCTTGTCTCTTTTTTTTCTCCTCTCAAATTTATTTCACTGTATTATACTCATTAGGTAACATCTCCAAACACTAATCTTCCCGATTACTGCTTATACTCTTATTACCTCTACTACTACGGGATTTGAATCGACCACTGCATCTCTGTTCTAATGTGGTATGGCAACTCGAACTGATGTACGTACGTACGAAGTTCTACGTTGTTACTGACTGACTTCTGAAATGCATTTGGTTAATCCCCGCCAGTGTTCTCATTTACTACAGTATCTGCACCTCAAAAAAGTTATCAATAGGATAACAATGATTTAGTTTAAGGGATCTAACGCTAAGGTTGTGATGATAGGAATAATTAACAATATTATGTTGTTAAAATGAATATAGAATGGACATCAGCTTATAGGCATCATTATTTTTGGTCAAAATTACTGGATATTCATGATAATCAAACAAGTTCATACTATTCAACAAGATGGGCTTTGAAAGTCTTTTCATACTGATCATATGAAACACAATCAATAATCATGTAACATAATGAAATGTATATAGATAGCATTAGTCTTGGTGATATCATTCTATATTACAGTATTCTTTGATGGTTATAATCCACACTTACTTACTTACTTACTTACTTACGCGTGTTACTTCTCGTGAAGGAGCATAGGCGGCTCACAAGCATTCTCCATCCAACCCTATCCTGGATAATCCTTTCCAGCTTCTTCCAGTTCCTATTCATCCTTTTCATATCTGCTTCTATTTCTTAATCTTCTTCATAGTTTTGCTGGTTAATCAATCTCATCTTCACACAAATAGATTTTCACAAGCTATCATCTAAATCAGAGATTTGACCATGAAGGTTTCCACAATCTGTATATAACCATGTGTATTGTGTAATGGACATGTGGATGACATAGAAATATCAACGTCACTGAGAACACACACACACATGAAAAACATCATATATTACGGGAGAATTCTTTATTGTATACACTAAAGTCATCTATCTTAATTCTGTTCTAAATGATGTTATCTATTAAAATAATTAATAAATAGGATATTAATGCTTTATTCTGTATAACATGTTTGTAATAGAAAAATTGGTGAGATTATAATTTATAGATGACCTTTGAGTGACCCCAAAGTGACCTTGAGAGTGTTGACCTAGGAACTAGGACCAAATCAGGGTTATGAAATATTGTGGGGGATTACAGTTATGATTTATTGTTGATAATTAAGATTAGAAATTAAATTTAGGGTTTTTATCACGAACTGACATCAGCTATAATGCCAAAACTCTATTTAGCCAAATGGATGAATGGATTTCGTGCCAAAATCCGAGACCTTATTATCCTATATCTGACTGATTCGTCCAAAAAAAACTAATAATCTGGCCGAAAAATTTTGTCATCTAACCTTTAAGCAAAGATAGATGGTAGTTAGCAAAAGGAATCCAGGATGCATGTTTTGTCCTATTTGGTTTTCATCATCTGGATGTACCGACATACAAAGATGATATTCACTCAAAGACTGATCAATAACGATCCCAAACGTGCAATGCTAACCGGCGTTCGGGATGGTTGGAAGAAAGTTAGGGGCGGACAAACCAAAACGTGTCATCAGTGCTTGAAGTCACTAACTCCTAGTCTTAGCCATGTTGGTGGATGCAGAATACTTGGTTGGGGTCCGCGTGACTATCCTCACCAATGGTTTGAGACTGTGTGTGACATGTCTCAGAAATGATCGAAATGCTGTCGGTGTATACACTCTTTGTCTTCCCTTAAACTAAGAGATTAAAATCACTTCATATCTTTCTTTCTAAGAACTAATTCTTTCTTCCTGTAGTATATCCTTATATGTAATCTTTCTTTTATATATTGCCACCTCTAAATTAACTACTTTTATGAATCCGGTGTTCATATTGTTGTGTTAATGAGGTATGACAACTTGGATCGATGCACATATATGTGCCTGATCCTACATTGTAGCTGACTGATTGACTGACCAAACATCAATGGGAAGATTCAAACAAATAATACAAAAATAAATTATCCATTTATCTTTTAAACATGCTTAAAAAAAACCCGTCTATAAATAATACATTTTTCAACAGTACTTTATTATTGCTTCATCTACACCAAAGTACAACTCCAAACATATTTTTCTTCTAAGACGACATTGGTTTTATAAGTCACAATGAAGCTTCCATTTATTCCTCTAAAGAATTGTTATATTCGGTTGTCACAGATTGCTGTGCCACAAAAACGCTGGTCACTTATACTCGGAACGAGGGACCACGGCAATTACCATGATGCGAAAGTATGAACACAAGACTGGTATAAGTGATGATTTATTAATCCCAAAACACAACGACGACGACGATGATCATAATAGTCTAAAATACACTCATTTATATATTGATTGTACATCCATTTTAATTAATAATTAGGATGAAATCACATACTCAGTTATAGCAAATCACTTACTGAACATAGTTCATGTCAAGTGAATACAAGAATATCGTATATTATATAGAAGGAAATATCATACTGGGAAAACAAATCAAATACTACACTGAATGATCCTCATGTTGAATCAAAACGGATGTTGAATGTTGAATAAAACTCATAATGAGTAATTCAATCGAAGATCGACTTTTCTTTCCATCAGATCAAGAATAGATAATATGGAATATATTGAAGTATTAAGTTGATTCAAGACTAAATATCAAATGAGATTGTTTAATGATCCAAGATCTGACTCCAATCAGATCGTTTCTGATTGTCATCGAAGTATACATATTGTCAATCCTCGTATATAATTATCGACTTTGATCACGTTAGTCAATAGTAGAATTAAATAAGTCAATCAAGAGAATGAATTTTGGAATGAGCATATTTTGGTACATTCACTGATCTGGACAGGAAATCAGAGGGATGAAACGAATAGAAGAGAACGAAACGAAATGACGCGTAGCGGAGATGGTATGGAAGCCAACTCCCCTTTTAGTCAAGCGTTAATCAATATTTATAGTTACACAAACATAAACTATAGATATATGATGAATAGGATAAGAAGTTCATACATATACACTCATATAGGAACAGTCAGGGTTGATAAGTGAATAATTAACAAGGTTAAAACGTTACTCAAGAAGAATGAATAAATTGAACTATCCAGAAATTAGAATAGAGTATATGGGTTTAAGATAGTAACCAACGCTACATATCAAATATCACATATGATTTAATAGAATATAAAGAAAGGGAGAAGTTCAAGGCATTAGAATATCAGAAGTAAATTTTCATTGAAAAAAACAAAAAAATATTTCTCTTAATGACTTTTTTGTATTAAACAGTAAAGTAAAATCAAAAGAGGGTTTTGTGGAGATTTTAGTAATTTAAGGGTTGAATTCATGAATCAATTGAAGCTAGATCAACATGGAAAACCTGGAAGCATTGAACGGCCGTTTCTTCCTATTATGGGACTCCTCAGTAGTGTGCATCCATAATCCCGCATGCCACACTCAAACCCAGGACCTATCGGTCTCGCGCGAGAACGTTTAACCTGTAGACCACTAAGCCGACATTCAACGGTGTTAATGTCTAACTTCAACCAATCCACGAAAGTTCACCACCGTCCACTATCAACTTCAATGAGTTACTATCTCACAAGTTCTAGTCAATAATTGTGAAATATATTACCATTTCATATATTCATATTCATCCATAATTTCAAATGTAGTTTAACTGAATCTACAACGTCTTCCATTAATACATGACACCATTCAACAAAACTAACCAATAATAAACAGTACTATTCTCTGTTTCAATTCACCGAACTAAACGAATTTAACGTCTCATTCATATTGAATCATCAAGTTTTTTTTCAATAACGAGTAGTGATGAATGGATCTCGAATTCACACACATGGAATTCCTGTTCGTACGATAAGAAGTGTACACACAGATATGCGCTCATATAAAAACAGTCAAGATTGATAAGTGAATAATGAACAAGGTTAAAACGTAACTCAAGTAGAATAAATAGATTAGCCTGTTCAGTAACTAGAATAGAGTATATGGGCTTAACATAGTAACAAACAGTACAGTTACATACTAATCAATGGGTAAAGAAGAAAATAATTTATGGGTCAGTTAAGGGCAATAATAACTGTTTAAAGCTTAAAACTACAAAACAATAATTCAATAATAATCAAACAAAAGTGAAGAAGAAAGTAAAAAAGAAAACCTGAAACATACCCATTAAAGGAATTAGGGCTAAGGAAGGAATGTGTGGTTGGATGAATCGTGTTTGCATGCAAAGTTCAGGCTAGAGTTGTTTGATTGCCAATGAATTAGCAATGCATAAAATATTGATTCAATTTTCCTTCGATCTAATTCCTTTGACTGTGTAGATTAGTTTAAAAGAAGACTCTTTTGGAGTGATATGTCCACAGTTGATTAAATACTCCTGTATAGAACTAGGAATCGTTTTACATTGTCCTTTTAAAAGCCAAGCCAGATAGTGTTCTGAGATCAGTTTGGAAAGTGGTCGCCTTGTGCGGTCAATCTAATCTGCCCCACATGGTGTGGCCCAAAGCGGAAGTTTATTCTTAACACATTCATGAATGGTAGGCCAGCTTCAGGAAACAATATGGAGCTTG